CCTTGCCAGCCCGCTCAGAGATGTGTATAAGAGACAGTTTTTGTACCTTAGAAGATAACTAATAATGTACTTCATATTAAATTTTGACCGGTTTTAGTATACGCTTGGAAAAAGATTCCTAAAATTGGCCTTTATTTTGTACGTCCAAAGGTGGCCTTATCCCTTAATATTTTTGTATTACTCTAGGGAGGTCCTGTACAAAAAGTAACCATTCCCAAAGATCGCGATGGCAAGCAAAGAAGTTACGGTTTCATCACGTACAAACACCTGAATTCCGTGGAGTATGCCTTGGGTCTATTTGACGATACAATGCTGTACAATCGTACTCTTAAAATGAGACTGAGAAACAATACGGAGCCCCAGCAGGCGGAACAGTTCTTAAATCCTGTCCGCAATATGAATCATATGTTGGAATTGGGTCAGCAAATGATCCTAGGAATTTATCCGCCGCAGACTAGTAGCGGCAATGCCATGCTTGGTATGAATATTTCGCAGGATGCCCTGGCATATCCAAGACAGTTGGATATAAATTCTGGCAACGACGACAGAAGAAGGAATCATCCTTATCAGAGGAATAGAGATAGAAAACAAGAGAGAGACAGAGATAGAAATCAAGAAAGAGACAGAAATCGGGAGAGAAATAGAGATAGAGAGAGGGAGAAGGATAACGGAAGAAACAGAGAACGAAATCATAGTGATCATTATAGAGATGAAAGGGCATATTATAATAGAGATAATAATTATCGTTCCGGTGACCACTTTCGACATAATGATAATAGAAAAAGATGGACTTATCACTGATAACAATTATTTATTTACGATTAGTCGTTGTTAAAATTAAACTTTCAGGTTTTTTTCTAAATCACAGAAAATAAGCAGATTTAATTATCAATTTAATTTTTACTTTGTGCTTATTCTGTAACAAATGTTCATTGATATCCTTATTTTGTTATCAACACAATTTTCACGATTATATATGTTATTAGGGATAAGCATATTTAAATTTTGTAATATACATATACAGACAGAATACATATATATTACAAGACAAAAAAGCACGTAATTACAAGCTTATGTAGAACTTCAAGATATTGAACAAATTCTTATATTAATAATAGTATAACGACAAGAAATACATAATTTTGATAATTGTAGTTTTATACATATATGTGTATAATTTTGTTAAAAAACATATCGCTCATTTGCTTCAACGACACAATTGAATAAATAGTTTTCCAGAGAGAGAGAGAGAGAGAGAGAGAGAGAGACAGAGTGAGAGGGAGGGAGGGAGAGGGAGAGAGAGATTAATAAGTTTCAGTTTTTTTTAAATCATAAAAATTTTATAGTATTAATTTTGAAATATAATTTTGTAATAACTGATTCCAGAAAAATAAAAGTATGTTCTTTGGGAGTATGTTTCTTTTTTTTCCTTTATATTTCCGTTTTTTTCTACAAGCAATTCAAAACTGATAATTTTTGAGTTATGTTAGTGTTGTAACAAATAAACGATATTTTAAAAAAATACTCAATATGATTTTTCTTGCTCTCAACTTAAAAAATGAAGATAAAATTATATATTATGAAAGATAACATTATTCTTTATCATTACAAGTATACATGCGCTTTCTTTCCACATACACGCATGTATAGGCGATGTTTTTGTTATTAAAATTATTTATAATTTATAATAAATCTCTAATCTAAAATAAATTGTAATCTAAAATAATTTATCTATAATAAATCTATAATCTAAAATAAATTGTTATTAAAATTATTTATAATTTATCTATAATAAATCTATAATAAATGCAAAATTATGTATTAAGATTTACATATTATAAAGGAAGTGTATTATGTATTACGATTAATATTAAAACATGGGAAAAGAATTTTTCATATTACATCGATGAATGTATTATTAAATCAATGACAATCCATTTTTGTGTATGTACATTGGAATATCAATATTAATGAGCTAGTTAATTATAAATTTTATTTGCATATTTACACAATAAATCACACGATATTGATACAAATATTAAATACGTAACAAACATAATATGATTTAGACTGTTTTTGAAGATTTCTTTTTTGTTCTGCTTTCCTTCTTTCAATAAGAATACGGGCCGCTCTTTGTGCCAATGCAATCACAGGCGCATTGATATTTCCGCTTGGTAATGATGGAAGAACTGATGCATCCACGACATATAAATTTTTTATATTGTAAACTCTGTAATGGATACGAAAATATAACATACATATATACATATATATATATATAAATTTTAATTGCGATAAAATAATTAAAAAAAAAACTCCGAGAAACTTAATAAGGTGGATAAAAGCAAGATGCATAAAAGCACAACAATTCAAAATTGAAAAGTAAATTAGAAGAATAGAAAATTTTAACTTTTATTTCAGATGTTATTTATCATCTTATTTTATATCTCTTTGCTAAGAATTAGTATTAATTTATAACTTTTAATTTTAATTAAAATGTTCTTTATACATTTTTTAATAACAGCCTAAGATAGAAAAGTTTCTAGATTGAAAATACCGCGTAAAAATTAAGAAAATTCCTGTTTACTTTAGAATCTTTGTTTATCAAAGCATGCACTTTCATCGTATCTCTTCATTGCAATCAATTCATATTGATCTTTTGTTTTTCTACATAATTATAATTTTATAATTACTTAAATGTTGTATCAACAACGTCGCCAATGCGACATGTACCGGCCGGATGGTAAGATGTCAGTGTTAACTGTTGTATGTAACATCTCCAATAATCTCTGGTATCAAAAACATGGTTCTCACAACCGGGGAAAACTCTTCTATTGAGAGATGCACCATGAGCTCTCATAACGGTCGTGTTCAAGAGTTCTTTTACAAAATATATACCTAAACATTCATACTTTCAGTATGTAAAATATGATTGTTTATATGGATGTTTAATATATCATCTGCATTTTAATAACCTTCTATGAGAGTGTCGATGTCGTCCTCATTTGACAAATATTTTGGATCAATCAGCGGCTCGTGAAAGAAATCGCTGCTTTGCAATCGTAATTCTCCACTACTTTTAGGATGTAATAATACAGGTGCAATTGTTATTGTATCTTGGTGTGAAAATGCAGCAAAATATTTGCTGTAGACCTAGAAAACATATTCGAAAGTTAAAAGTTTAATTCCAGAAAAGCGCGTGCGTGTGTGTGTGTGTGTGTGTGTGTGTGTGTGTGTGTGTGCGCGTGTGTGTGTGTGTGTGTGTGTACGCGCGTGGATTCCTTTTTTTTAACTTTAATTTATAATTCATATTATGTTTATTTTTATTTGTAGCTACTATACTTTCTATACCTCATCAGAAATTCCCATTGCTTTTTTTAATATAACGCCATTGTCTTTTGACACTCCTAAAGGTAACATCATCAACTGCAAATCTGGTACTGTAGATTCATTTGCATGTAAAGGGCTTTGAAAAGTCCCTAATACTTCTACTCCTGATGATGTCCATGGTCCTAAATAAATTAATTATCTATTTAATTAACACAAATATTAATATACAGGGTGTCTGGAAAATCACCCACAGTACTTTGGGAAGTGATTCAGGACCAAAAAGAATGAAAAAAAGCTATATAACCATAGGTCCGGAAATAAGTCGTTTCCAAGTTATAGTCACTTTATATGTTTAAAAACATCATAATTAAGCGGATTATCCATAGTGCATCCTGATTAATGCCGAAATAAAATTATTTTTGTTAAAAAACTTAAAATAAATTATGATTATTATAATAGACTATGAAAAATAAATTACAATTTTTCATATGGTTACTATAACTCGAAAACGCCTAATTTCCGAACCTGTGTTTACATAAGTTTTTTTCCTTCTTTCTGGGCCACTTCAAAAAGTAGTGCGGACGAATTTCTGGACACTCTGTATAATAAGGATATATCACACATTTATCAAAACACATTTATCAAAACTCTTTATAATCACACTATTGCATTTGATGTTATCTATTAATTACGCAATAATACAAAAATAAAAAAATTAGCGTTACTTTTAAAGTAAATATGACACGTGCATTTGCATGCATAGCTTTGATATGATTGTATATTGTTTTTACCCTTTCCAAAAAAGAAGTAATTGAAGGCTGATATAGGATTAAAGATATCAGAAAAATTCAATCCAAGACTCGTATTGAGTATAACCAAGTCAAGACCGGTTAATATATGATCCATCAAAGTTTGACCAACTGGCAAATCATTAATTACATTAATCTAAATAACATAATTATTTGATGAAAGAAAATCGATGTACTTGTCTTGTTCCAAAAAATTAAAAAATTATTTATACTACATAACATTATAATATATTTTTACACGTACACAACACAATTAAAACACACACATATGCACAGGGTGTCCCATTTTAAACAATCCCAAAATTTAATTTTTTTCAATTTTGAAAGAAAAATGTTTCAGACAAAAGTTGTCTGAAGAGGGACAAATAATGGAAAAATTAATTTTTGAAAGTCATATGAAGGTCGCTATTTTAGAAGTACACATCATATTAAATTTAAAAAAGAAAGTAAACATAGGAAAACTGACTCGTTTCTAACTGTATAATCACCAAACAGATCCACAATTGTCGTGTAAAGAAAATACGTTATTTAAAAAAAAAAAAAAGATACGTAGTTGCAAATTGTATAATTTTTTGAAAAGCAATTAATTAAATTTTCTGTACATCAATCGATTCAAGATTACAATTTACGATTTTTCAGAAATCTTTTATTATGAAGTGTGTATGAAAATTAATAGGATATTCAGAATTTGCGATTTGCAAATGATCACTGAGGTAAATTTTGCGACACGTAAAAGTCAATAAGTTGATATTAAAATACAAAGTTATTTATATCTCTGAAACGATTGAATTTTCGACCTATGTTTAAAGCTTTTTTATCTCATTTGTCGGTATGATGTATATAAATGCTGAATGCTTTTTTGTGTGAACACCCTGTATTAAACAGAATGTATGTACATTATGCATACTGTATACATATTATATATATTATATACATTAAATACGTTTTTATAACGTGTTAAATATACTAAATACGTTATAAATGCAAGTTATATATTATGAATATTAACAAATAAACGGGCAAATGAGAGTCAAGCGCAGTTAAGTGGGCGAAAATTTATCTCTTTAATAATGAGATCATATAAATTTAGAATAACAGACGTTTCGACTCCCCTTCGAGTCATCATCAGTGTCTTCTCAATAATTAAGACCGACGACTCGAAGAGGAGTCGAAACGTTTATTATTGGAATCTTTGTATTCTAAATTTGTATGTAGATCTCATTATTAAAGAGATAATTTGCGCCCCATTAACTGCGCTTGACTCTCATTTGCTCGTTTGTTTGTTAATATTTGAATTTCGAGAGTCCTTTTTACATTTTATTTTTATATACTATGTGTATAACTTGCATTTATAATATACATTTATATATCTTCAAACTTTTCTTTATTATTTATTATGTACTGTAAGATATATTTGATGTATAATTTGTAACAAAACATTAGATTTATGCTAAGTGGTAAATTATAAAAAAACACGTGTAGTTAATTATTAAAGATTACTTACACCGAATTCCTCCAAATGCTTTTTTGGACCAATTCCAGATAACATCAACAATTTTGGACTTTCAACAGTGCCGGCGCTTAAAATAACATCCTTCGTTGCTATCGCTGTATATTTATTACCAAATCTAACAAATTCAATTCCCTCAACTTTATCCAGGTTTATCAATATCTTCAATAGTATAGTATAATTAAAAATAATACCTCGTACTTTTATCATGCATGCTAAAAATGATTCAGATAAACTTACTTTAACGGCACGTGCATGAGTAAGTATAGTTAAAGCATGATTGGATTTTTTATACAATATCTTGTCTGTACTCCATCTTCTACCATTCTTCATTGTTAACTGAGCTTTCATAAAACCTAAGCAGCAAATATTATTGTAGACATATAATACATACAACCTGCAATTAAAATTCTATGTAAAAATTAGATACCTTTGTCCAAGTGTGAATTTATGTTGCTAATATTGTGATTTAGTTCCTTTATTGCCTTCAAAAATATATCAGCAAAACCAGTGGTCCATCTCATTTCACTAATATTTATTTCTTCATCATTGTTTGCAACTGATTCTAAGATGTTTATTTTTATAGGATAGTTCATATAGAGGTTCATATAGAAAAAATTAAAGTACATATAAATATACTTCTTTTTCTTTTAGATTAATTTAAAAGTAAATTAGTATATAGATTTTTCTATACCAATAAAATTTGGGAACCATTTCTCATAATCTAGTCGATGTCCTAATACATAAGCCATATAATTTAGACGACTTGTGCCTCCAAGAACTTTACCTCTAGGCCATCTGCTTTGCTGCAAAAAAATCTTTATAACTATATATACACACATATATATATATATATATATATATATCCACAGAATTGTTGATAAATATACAAATATTTTACGTTATTGATTAAGCCTTTACACGCATGCTTTTGAGGAACGGTGACATATTGCCAATCATAAACAGTATTCTGAATCATCGGTGCCAAGAATGGTATATCAAGCAAAATTGGAGCAGTACCACCTGCTTCTAGCAATAATACGCTATAATTATCCTTTGCTAGACGCGATGCTAAAATTGCACCAGCGCTACCGGCACCAACTAAAATTAAATAGAAAAAGATATTGTTTCAAAAGTGAAGTGGAGAAAGTGAATGACAAGATCATTTTAAATTAAAGTTAATAAAAGATCAGTTTAAATAAAATAAATTTTATTTGATATAAATTAAAGAAAAAAAAGTAAGATAGAATTATTTTTCAAGAAATTTAAAGAATTATTTCTGATTTAAAGTATTTACGTTTTATATTTGTTTATTATACGAAGCCATAAATAAGCTCATTGAATAAAATCTCTATTTTTAGGCTTATTACTTTCTTTTATTTTAATAAATTGTGGTTTACCAATAATATAATCATATTGCTGCATATCTTGAACGTTGTTGAAGAGCCAGTGAAAACACATATCTAATATAAATTCTAAATAAATATAAAAAAGAAATAGTGCCGTGAATATGTTGATAAGCACGAATAGCAATTTCATAAAAGTAAACATTTCGTAAATTTCTTAATTTTTTTCAAACTATAATTTTTAGGATTTTTTTTCTGTTGTGAATTTTAGTCTTCTTCTCTTTTTATGACTGCCGACTTCAACCGTTGAGCCGATATGACCTTATGTGAATTTTATTAGTCTTCTTCTTCGTCACCTTTGGCTATCAGATTCTTTAATGTTACTTGAACTTCAAATGAGACCCAAAATTGTACAATTAGTTTACATTAGTCTATATTATGATGGTTCTACATTGAGCGCATCAGGCTCAGTCAGGTTGTAATCATGGTATAAATATTTATACCATGGCTGCAATATGGTAGAGGAAGCACCATGGGCTGCAATTTCATACTAAATAACCTCTTTTTGATTTTAAGCGCCAGCGCCACGCCGCGCGCAATACACGTATATAATCTCTTTGGCAATACAGCGCCACACCGGCGCTACCCCCACTTTGTGGTATAGTCATCGACTAAAGACGTAATCACACTGACGATTGAGGTTGAGATTGGATTGAAATTTGACCAATCAGAAGAAAAATAACTAATATCAAGTTTAGTAAATTTTGCTTTGATTGGTCAAATCCCAATCCAATCTCATAGCGTTTTCGATTTGTTAAAGCCGGTATCAGACTATGGAGATTGAGATTGAAGATTGTCCAATCACATTAAGCCCGTATCAGATTAAAGATTGAAATTGAGATTGTAATGGAATTTGACCAATTAAAACAAAGTTCACTAAATTTGAGATTGATTTTCTTTCTTCTAATTGGTTAAATCCCAATTCAATCTCAATCTCAATCTTTAGTCTGATACGGGCTTTATAGATTGCGATTTGCATTGCGATTGATAATATAGCTGCGTTCAGCAAGCAAAGCAGCTCGGTGTATATACATATTTGCATATATTATTAAGATAAGATCGGAAGAGCACACGTCTGA